TTCCTTCCTTCCTTCCATCCTTTCCTTCCTTCCTTCCTTCCTTCCCTTCCTTCCTTCCTTCCTTCCTTCCTTCCTTCCTTCCTTCCTTCCTTCCCTTCCTTCCTTCCTTCCTTCCTTCCTTCCTTCCTTCCTTCCTTCCTTCCTTCCTTCTCCTCCTCCTCCTCCTTCTTCTTCTTCTTCCTCCTCCTCCTTCTTCTTCTTCTTCCTCCTCTTCTTCTTCTTCTTCTTCAACCGTGCCGTCGCACCAGGGCACCCTCGCGGGCAGAGCCGCCACTTGGACGCCCAGCAGTTCCGAGAGAGCGCCACGGCACATGGCAGTCGAGGCAAGATTGCCTTCTTCGATCTTTCTGATGACGAAGACGGCTCAGTTCGTGCTCCTGCTGGACAGCCCTTCCAAGACGCCGCCACCCTCTTCTCTTCGTCAACTTCCAAGAGCTCCAGCTCACAGTCGGCGTTTCAGCCCCAGCCCTTTCATCCCGGCCACCTTGAAACGCACAGGGCACGTTTGCCTCGCCCAGCACACACCGGCTCATCAGCCCGCGATGCGCGGCGCCACCCCTCCCTACATGTTGCTGGCATCCAGCTCCACCATCAGAATCAGCACTATCGGTACCAAGCACAACCTTCGTCCCACCTGCTCATGAGCACGCTCACAGATGCTCCTTCGAACCTGTCACCTCTGCGCGAACAGCCACCGCCACCGGCGTTGTCCCTCAGTCACTCTGGTCACTGCGGAAGCAGCCACACGCAGACGCCTTCCGAACTGCTACACCCAGCAACACCACCATCCCCTCGCACGCTGCACGTCGCGCCTCAGCTCAGCAGCACTCCTCGTACTCCAACTGCACCCCCTCCAGTGGCTCTGCACTCACACCACCTTCCTATGGCGCATCAGGCAAGCACAAACCAACACAGACGTCATCACGATGTTACGATACCCACAACCCCACAGCAACCCACAAGTACAAAAGGCGTACCAGCATTGCCAATGATGCCACCAGCACCAAGGGCAGGCCAGAGCACAACAGCACCGACAACACAAGCACAACCGTTTCGAGACTATGATAAGGTGTGCACTGCCAACGATAAGTCACCACGTGGTACTCCTGCCATTATCGGCTTTCTTGGAGATCCCACTCTACCGCATATGCAACTACCACCGCTGCTGTCGGTGGAGGTGGCAAGCTGTGGGGCTGACAGGGACGCTCACGACAACACCAACCACACCACCACCACCACCACCAGCAGCAGCAGCAACAACAGCAACAACAACAACAACAACAGCAACAACAACAACGACGACGACAACAGTGATCGTGCTCCTGTGATGATGCTGAAAACGGTGGAGAGACCACCTCGACCACGTCGAGCGCCTTCCACGGCGATGGCGACGACAAATGGTACTCCATCCCATCATTCTACGACGCCTTCGAGCGACGATTTCGGCAACAGCGGCACAAGCAACCCCACATGCTCGTCTTGTGACAGGCCCACTCCCAGCAGCAGCGACACGGACGTCGAACGTCGACACACCCAAACGAGCGCCACCAATGTTGACGCGTGTGACAGATGCGTGGCCGCTGAGCACGAGTTGGCACGTTTGCGCTCAGAGGTGCAGTATCTCACAACGTTGTGGGCGTGCCAGTCATGCGACACTACACCTCGGCGCTCTCACCGGCGTCACCGTCATCAACGCTGATGTATCTGCCCACCACAATGCCCCTCGCTTGCCCTTGCCTCTTGCCCCATCCCGTCTTGAGGTTGGCCTGTTTCGCGTTCACTTCTTGCAGTTGGGTTTACTCTCGCATTCAATCCCCCAACCTCGAGAAAGCACCGAAGCTTGTCAGCATGTAAACCAGACAGTCTCAATATACGAACAAGACACAAAACCAACCACGTCACCTCACGCCACCCACATTTACATTGCATCATGCTATGTCCGTCTGTTCTTTCATCCAGCTGATTA